TGCAACATTCGCCCTTGGGCATGCCATACTTTGCAGGGATTATCTATGACTCTATGATCTACGCTTCCGTTGCCAGCTCGCCCTAATCCGAATGTGGTCCCACATGTCCAAAGTAAAGAGATTATGAGAATCATGTGAGACCCTTGTTACCCTTTCTGGTACTTGTACTGCAACATTGCTTCCAATTGCCGCCCCATGACCTTGCTTTTTGACACCTCTAATGCTCGCCCACAAAGCAGGAAGGACACATTTACAAGTTTGTCCATGACCTCGGCAACTTAAGTCTACTAGGAGCAACTCAAACAGACTCACAAACAATCAAAAACAAACAATAGCAATGCAACTCTAAGCAATTGAACACAAAGCATCGTGAAGCAAAGCAACCCGCATGACACCAACACAGCATGAACCATCTCCCGCTCGCCCGCTGTGTGCCTCCGTCCAACTCTCGCCAAGAGTCGTTGAGAACGATCGCATGATGCGTGGGCATGATGGCGGCAGGGAATGCTGACTAGTGGATCTCAGAGACACAGATCCAGCTGGCGTTGACATACGGAATCTTGCAGCTGCAACATGTGAAGTCATTATTCTGCAACGATGTGAACAAAAGACATGATCGCTCACAATGCAGCACCCAGACTTCGGAGGCAACAAGCTAAATACAAACATATTCTTCAAATGAAAGAAGCCCTTCCGATCCCCGCAACCTCTGCTTGATCATGGCTTGGAGCCAGTATGGCGCTGGTCCAACTTCGGCATGGCGGGGGTCGATCATTCAAGCCTCTCCGTGTTCCCGAAAATAGGAAGTGGTAAACACGGGTGGGCTCACCATCGCTTGCCTTGAACACCAGGGAAGGGGCAATCCCCAAACAAAAGGATTGGATTCTCATCCAAGAGTCTGGGTTTTCGGACCCCCAATGCGTCTGGGCGTGTTGGGGCAAATGTGGCCTAGCATAGCATCCTGTCTCAACCAGTAACAAAACAGACAGAGAGACAATATGGATGAGTCTGTCCTTAGACCCCCAAACTTGATTCTCCTGTTCATTTCCCTTTCAACCCTACCAAACATGGGTACCAAATCCAAACCCATCACCAAATCGCCGCGTGCGTAGGCCGTTCCTGTCTCGTCCGGATCCCCTTCTCGCCTTCACAGGGATCCGTGGCCGCTCCCGGGGTCGGCGCGTGGGGTTTTGCGACGCAGGCTGGTAGATGAGGGACCGGATCCGCGCGAACGGCCTCCGCAGGGATGTTCAATCGTAGGAAGTAGGCTATAAGCACCTGGGTACCTGGGGTTTCTTCCCCTTATGACTTATGACCATATCATAGTTACAACCTACTTGCTAAGTTGGTGACACATCCAAGAAGGGGATGCCGTGGGAGAGATGTTTTTCTGCTCCATTTATCGGCCCAAACGCGACCCGTCCCCCGTCGCACCTGGTCTCCACATCCAGTCGCAGCTCCGCCAAAGCGTCTGGCACCGTGCTGAAGAAGAGGTGCTCGAAGAAGCGCTGCAAGGCCTCCAATCCATCCGTCCGCGGATTGCTGGATCCACGTAGGCGGTGGCTGTTGCTAGGAATCCGGCCCCTTCGGTGTTCCTTTTGGTTTCCCTGTACAATAGCCAAAGCCGGGTACCCGTACAAGCAAAACAGCCACCCATGTGGGGTCTCGAAATGGGGAACCCCCAAAAGCAGTGAAAAGCCGGGTGTCCCGTTGCCATTCCGGGTTTCGCACCTCAGGGGAGCGCACGCACTTCGAAAGGAAGGGCACGTAGTCCACCTTCACCTGTTTTGGCGAGCGAGTGAGAAGAGAGACCAGAGAGTGACAAATGCCTTCCGGCAAAATTCGGGACACGCTAATTACAAAAATCCGAGTTTCGGCTTTACTGCTCCTTTTTGAAACCCCTTCTTCTCCTTTCACTCTCCTTCCGGCAAAAATTCCTTTAAACAAAAAAAGAAAAAGCTTCGGAATCCCAAGCCCCCCCTTTTTCCCCAGGCACATCGATCCGGATCGTCCGACTCGATCCGACTCCATCCGGATCGGACTGCGAGACTCCATGGGCTCCGCCTCGGGGTGGTAGTAGAGCACATCCGACGCCGCACCGAAGAAGGCCTCGAAGGAGGGCACGGGCGCCGAGGAAGCGCCCTCGCCTGGCTCGCCTGGCTCGCCTCGGTGTTCTCGTCTCGCTTAAGGAACCGGAGCAGCAAAAAGAGACCCACCGCTGGTGTGCTTTTTGTGGTTGTGTTGTTTTGGGTTTTCGTTTCTATGATTTTCGGTCTTGGGGGGGGAGGTGTGGAGGTGTCCTCTAAACCAGACATACCCTGGTTTTTCGGTTTGTTCTCCTTTTTGTTGTTGTTGCAAAAAATCCCAAATCGTGTTGCATTTCTGTTTGCTTCTTGGATGTACAACCAATGTCAGGTAGGTTGTAACCACGGTTGCCTGGGTAGCTGGGGATCGTACTAAATTGGTTGAACGTCGGTGTGGGAAAATGGCTAGCCCTGCTGGATGTTTGGTTTGACTGCTTATCGGGGTATCGAAGTCAGAAAATGGGGTTGTTTTTCAACCTATCATTTGGGGGGTGACTTTGATCATGGTAAATTCATGGGGCCAGTTCAGGGTTTCATCTGAAGCTCCTCCGCGGATATTCACAAAAAGGTACACCCCACGGCACCTTCATGAGTGACCTCGTTGTTCCCCAGTCAGCTTGCCTCGACTCGGGGAGAGCAGATTTTCCAGCATATGTTCTTATCCAAGTAATTCGGAAAGCTTACCTGCCCTAGATGCCAAATGTGGGAGCCTGGGCGTGGCAAACAAATCCAAACCTCGTGGCGAGCACCACGCAAACTCGTGTGGCCCCCGGACTAGCGCGAATGCCAAATTTCTGAGCAGCAAGCCGTAAGGACAAAAAGGACATCATTGGACAACCCTTACGGGGTTGAGAAGGGAGCGAGGTGTCTGCAAAGGGGGCCTGGGTTCTATCCCCGGCCCAGAAGACCCGCCTTCCTCTTCATCCTCAGCTTCATCAGCAGCTTCAAGCTCTTCCTGCCCATGGGCACCGATGCATGCCACAACACCCCGCCTGCGCATCCACGCCAAGGGCCACACCTCTTAGTGAAAAATCAGAGCGCAATGGACCCCAAAGCAACTTCATGCGGCGCGCATCGGAGCGCCAGACGGCTGTCGTGCACTGGCCCAAGACCGATCCCACTCACACACACACACACACTTTCACTCACACACTCACTCTCACACACTCACTCACTCACACACTCACTCACTCACTCACTCACTCACTCACTCACTCACTCACTCACTCACTCACTCACTCACTCTCACTCACTCACTCACTCACTCACTCACTCACTCACTCACTCACTCACTCACTCACTCACTCACTCACTCACTCACTCACTCACTCACTCACACGCATACAAGCAAACACAGGCACACACACACAATCTACGCACCCATCCCAAAAACACAACAAACACCAAATTCAGGTGGCCCACTGGGCTTCGTGCCTCCTCCGGGTCCTTTCGGGGCGGCCCACTTGCCCAGAGCTGTTGGAAGGAGTCCCGCAGAGTCTTGTCCTCGCTGCCCTGCCCATGCCATCCAACCGCGGGGGGATCCACCTGGCACTAAAATGGTCGTAATCCCAGAGGCTATGCTTCAAGAATTCAGAAGGCAGCGCTAAAGCTATTTATGGTTGGGACAATCTCCCTTACTAACCTTCATCTGCCCGGGCTTTGATTGTGGCTCAAACAAAGTCTGCACTTATTATTGAATGTCCACATGGGATCAAACATTGCGCCCGGAATAAAGACATGACAAAAGGGTGGCGGAACGAAAATAGGAATTGCACCTGGAGTAAAGAGAAGCACCCGCCACCCCTGCCCATGTGTTTCTGAGATAAAAAGAAGGAGAGAAAGGAGAGGAGAGGTAGCCAAGCTAACGCCAGGTCCTTGAATCTTTAGTACCTTGTTCTTCAGCTCCCAAAGTCCAAAATGTCCAGCTTCCCCAGAAGTCCTGTTTGCTTCCATGTCTCTTGATTAAAAATACAGACCGCCCGCAATCAAACCCACAAAAGGGGCAGTAAGTACTTCAGGCCCCCAATGTGACATTGATTCAGGGGCCCATGAAACAAAGTCTTGCCGCCGGGTTCCCTGAAAACATACCACCTGCTCGTGCAATTCATTGCCTGGCTTGAGTAACTAGAAGGCGTAGATACTGGCGATGCTTCAGGCTTTGTTCGACTTACATGTCTCTTGGTCCAGGCCCCCAGGTTGACAGTAGTTCAGGGTGGAATAACGTCTTTTTGCCTCCCCCCAAAAACAAGTATCAAAAGGAAGCTCCAGCAATACTGTAAATCAAATGGAAACTCGGTTCCAAGTCTCAAAAGCACACTTCAGCAATACTAAATCAAATGGAAATTCGGAAATTCACGTCTGTCAAGTACTAAAACAAGTGGACACTCAATTGAACTGGATCTCAGGATATTATTTCAGGTGGACATTCCCATCAACATGGTCTTCCCAAACAGTTTCAAGTCCAGGAACTCAGGCATTAAGTGGCCGTCCGGCTGTCAAAAGAACGGTGTTGGATGGCACAAGTTCTCGCAGTGAAACATGAGATACGTTCACCAGCGAATCCCAGGCAGGCCACAATAGCAGGTGACCAGCGCCACACAAATTGAATCATTGGATAAGTGATTGGCCGCCCTTGCAAAGGGCATGCCGCAAGGGAGGATAAAGCAACACTATTTGAAAGGGACCCCCCGTCAAGGGTATGTCCAAATTAGGCTTACCTGACATTCAGCTATCAGAAGGCCCCAGAAAAAAAACGCTGCAATTCTTTGGACATCACGCGGGTTGACTTCGTTACACTGCCCGCGTTTTCACGGCACTCTGAACCCGAGGGTTTAAGGCTAAAAGAGCAGAATGGATTGCCTGAAGCGACGCCGTGCGACTGACTTGGAGGTGTTGGCCAATGGAAAGGACAGTCAAGTGCTTGAAGCGGTTTCCCGATTCGCGAACGCCATGCCATTCGGGTTTAACAGCATGCTGAATCGCCATCCATCCGACGTTGCACGTCATAACTGCATTGAGTGGTTTATTCTGTTCAAGCTCCCAAACATCAACTTGGAATCTCGGTGAACTGGGGTCCAGGAAGCCAAGAGTAAGTCAACGATCACCGATGCCATCCTGTAGGATGCGGACTTCTTCCGCCCACAAACGTCACAGGCCCCTCACCAGCATCTGCCCCTAGAAGCAACAACCACATGCTGCAGCCAACTGCACGTGTCCGGCTGTCCCCCAACCCGGCTGACGCGCCTCTCCTAGCTCACGGCAGTCCACAAAGTGCAGCTGCGAAGGCACCTCCGCAGCAAGCCTGCGCCGGAGGTAGTCAATGAAGGCGTCGCTCCTCAAACGGTTTCCCCCACGCCATGACCCGCCTGAGCATGTGGGCATGTCAGGTAAGGACAATCTGTGAAATGGCGCCCCACCTGGTTGGCTTTCAGCTGAAGGTACAAGCTTTGAAGCAGAGCAAACCAACTCGAGGCCGATAGTCTCAACCTTCCCAGCTCAACTTTTGCAAGCGGCCCGCCGTCATTCTCGTCTTCGCTGTCCTGGCACAAGCATTTCCGCAAATGATCCCAACCCATCGGCAGTGGCAATTGAAATGCCAAGCATGCAGCACCTGTGTAGCGAATGCTGCAAAAGTCCAGCCGTGAGTATTCAACCTCCAGCAAGTTGCCCAGTCACACACACACACACACACCTGGGTGTGTCCTTTTGGTCAAATACATGGCACTGGCAAATAATTAGAAACAAACTGAAACGAGTGCCATCTATTGACCTGAGTGACCCAAACAGGACCCTGCTGCACACACACACACACACTGCCAGTAGAAACCGCCTCCCATCCCCGACCGCTCCGAGTCAGAGTCCAATTCCATGGCGCGGAGGCAGGCGTGCGCGCCGCAGGCGACCACTGGGTCCTTGCATCGAAGAAACGGAAGCCGAACCGACGGCGGACAGGTCCATGGAACCTGCACGAAGGCTCCGAGGGGGACATCCTAATTTTTCCCCCAATACATGCGTTCCGCCCCACAGGACCTTGACCAGGACCTTGGCTCGGCTCAGGTTGGGAGCCGCCCACTAGATAGGCATGCAATGGGCGAGTTGCGCAGCACCGTGGCTGGCTGGCCGTACTTTGGTTGAGGTTTGGGGTTTTAGGGTTTAGGTTTAGGATTTAAGGGTTTAGGTTTAGGGTTTTAGGATTTTAGGGTTTAGGTTTTAGGGTTTAGTTTTAGGGTTTCGGGTTATTGGATTTTAGGGTTTAGGTTTAGGTTTTTTGGATTTTAGGGCTTAGGGTTTAGGTTTAGGGTTTAAGTTTAGGGTTTAGGTTTAGGTTTAAGGATTTTAGGGTTTAGGGTTTAGGGTTTAGGGTTTAGGTTTAGGGTTTTAGAACTTTAGGGTTTTAGGACTTTAGGGTTTTAGGACTTTAGGGTTTAGGGTTTAGGTTTAAGGTTTTGGGTTTACGTTTTAGGTTTAGGGTTTAGGGTTTAGGTTTATTGGATTTTAGGGTTTAGGTTTAGGGTTTTAGGATTTTAGGGTTTCATGTTTTTCCAGCCAGAAAAGTGTACATGGCTGGCTGCAAACAAAGACTAGCTTGCGTGTACGAGGGGAAAAAAGGAAATCCCGCACACACGATTCCCGCAGAGGGTGCGCATTTCGGGGCCCAACCCCAGACTTCGGCCCCACACACTTGGTCCGGACCTGTGAGCTTCAACCTCTCAAAACACTGGCCCTGCGCATGTTTTCTGACACATTCAGGCGGGCCGTCGGGGGACGTTGGGGCAATACACATGTATTGGCCGTAATTTTTGTACGCCCTGAATTTTCTGGGGCAGAAAAGGCACCTTCATGTTTATCTCTGTGGCTGCTGGCTCACACAGCCACCCAAGTTGTTGTTGCCGAAGGCAGTCTCGCAAGCAACCAAGGCGTGCAGCGCAAGCCTGCACTACCCCATTCATTTATAACTCTTGACGCCACGCGCCCCTACACAGGCCACGACCAACCAATCCCCTGGCTGTGTTTCTTGGTTCGACCATTTTTGATCCACCACCTAGAAGCGCCCTCTGTGGGCTGGCCAAATCCAAAGAAGGCTTTTAACAGAGCTCCAAATCCGAAATCATCAGGGAAACCGCCAACAAAGATGATATATCCCCCAAAATGGAAACAGTTAGCCATGGTCATTTTGGGGGCAGGCATATTGATCAACCCCCACATGCTTTTGAACCTTCTTTAAACATGCGAAAATATGGCTGAGGGTCAAAAATAGGTAGCCAACATGGAACCCTGGTAAACGGATGACCCCCTGGTTTAATTTTGACCCATACCCATATCATTGTTCATACAACAACTAGGACCTGCTGGTCTGTATCGCTTCCCAGCGGTCCAGGCGGTGTAGCTCCACCTGGTCCGCAGGCACAGGGCTTTCCAGAACCACCTCCACAGGCACGTCCCCAGTCCTCGAGGCTTTCACTCTGGGACATCTCTTGGGGAAAGGATGTGCATGATGTGTATTCTGAAACATCTGTTATGTTCGTAGATATATATATATATATGTGTGTATGTAATATGTATATATAATATGTATATATAGTATGTAATATATAATATGTCATATATATATATATATCAATGTGTAATACGCACCTACCTCACGTATAATGCCCATGTCCACTGACAAACCAGGGCATGGAGGACTTGGATGGGGGCTGAGCTCGCGGCTATCCGTTTTGGCAAGTTTCCCCCGACTTCGAAGCTCCGGTTGGGACGTCCACGCAAGATTGGTATCTCCGCAACTAGGGACTCAAGTTCTTGGATTCCTTTCCCCCTGAAATGACAGCATCCAGAAAAGAACGTCAACTCGTCCTTCTCTGGGCAACTCAGGTCTCCGCAGCTTTCAGGGGTCGGGGCGCAATACGACGTATTCAAGCAAGCCTGGGGCAAAGACCAAGGCCCGGAGGTTGGTGGGCCTCGTGATTGATCAAAGGCCTCCAATCGCATCGAGTTGGTTGGAGGCAGCCGCGACTTGTCATGAGAAGGATGGGACTTGTCATCCGAACAACAAAGAACTGATCATCCTTGACATGAAGACAAGAACCCCATTCTGAGTGAGTCACGCTAGTTCACAGCAACGAATGAGACCAAACTATAAGGGGAAGCCCGAAGAAAGTTAGTCTTCCCCATGAAAGGGAAAATGGAACCCTTCCAATTCCATTCTTAACGCGTGGGTATGGTGAGATTGGGTTGACGGCCGAACAGAAAGCTGGCTCACACCTGCTTCGCGAATCACTGCCTCGCCAAGTTGCTGCACTTGGCGAATCAGCCAGTCGTCAAAGAGTTCTAGCCCTGGCACCGCACTGAGGACCCAAGCCCTTTGGAATGCAACCTCCAACCCAGATCTCTGCATTTGCTTCGTAGACGCTTCCTCACTTCTTGCAACACTACCTGGGTTCGGAAAGGCAACGTTTAGTGCCTGCAGGATTCGTACAAAGAAACAAAGAGAGGTGGTGCTGTGGATTTACATGGACGTGTGGAAAAGGTCATTGCTTTACTCCTCAAAAGCCAACCATACCTCGACATTGGGACGTCCCTGATTGACTGACGAAGAACAACAGGGTTGGCTTCCATACCTGGAGGGGATGCTCGTCCTCAATCAGATTCCTCAACTTGACTGCGACCAAGTGTTTGACAATGAGCCTGTCGGGCATCCGAACATTGGGGACCGGTGACCGCCGTTTCTGGCGGGTAGAGCCACCAAGGCGCGCTGCCACACACGCAGCGCCTTCCCGCCGCGCCTTCCCTGCGTCGATCTTCTTTGCGCTTTCCCAACAGCTGATCCAGCTCCTCCGCCGCCATGTCCTGACAAAGCCACACATCCAGCCGACAAAATGTTGCTCTATATATATATATATATTTATATATATATATATATTTATATATATATATATATCCCTAGCCCTTCAAGATGTGATGACTTTTCCTTTTCTTTTTACAAAAAGGATGGAGGTACCAACCATCTGTGAACATCATAATTCACCAACCTAGAATAAGGGGTTGCCCCCCCCCCCCGCCGCCACAAAAAAAGACAACACAAACCTTCACGTGTGAAATCGGTCGCACACCAAATCCCAGGCGGTGAGGCTCGCAGGAGTTGATTTGCCCAGAAATGATTTCTGCACCAGCTTTCACTCGAACCCAAAATCATGGATCCCTATAAATCCCTGGGTCAATCCAGTCACTAAATCCTTGGTGAGCTCTGCATGATTTGCCTCGGAACCATGCTATAAATGGGTCGCACTTCCACTCAGTTGCCGGTTAGGGACCCAGAAATGAACGGTTTAACTTTTTACGGCCTTGGCTAAACATGGACCAAGGCCGAAGAGACTAAAAGGGTGCATTTTATGAGTTGGTATCCCATTGTTGGGTTAAAGACGAAACCAAAAGGAAAAACCGTGGCGCCGTTTTCGGTGGCTCCGAGTCCTACAACATCCTACAACAACAAAACATGGCACGCCATCATGGTCCGGGTGGTCTGCTCCTGCCCGGCCCGGCGCCGCTGCGCGAAGTTGCGGGCTTCTGTGTCCAGGTCGCCCCATTGAAAGGCCACCTCCGAAGCAAACCAATGGGGCGGTGGTCCACGGTACTTGGATTTTGCGGCCAAGTTGGTATGTGGTTACCACCTGGGTTTCAACCCACGAACAACAGGGGCGGCTCCACTTAGGGGGACTTAGAAGTGGGTTATTACCTGGGTCACCAACAACTTACAAACTTGGCCGAATTCTCTGGCTTTACCATTTTGCTTCTTGACCCTTAATGGTTTGTACCCCTGGTGTGTGGTTTGATTGGGGTTGTAACCAGTTGTAACACCTTGTATATGGTTTAGTTGGGGATATTACCCTATATGGTAATGTTGACCCCATATTAATCAACCCCAGGATATTAATAGGGGGGTGGGGCCCCCTCCTGATCATTCCAACCACTAAACCCAGGGACACCCCCCCCCCCTACTGGAGTTTATTAATCCGGGGTCAACATTAGAGGTTTATGGCTTTCCTAAATTGGGTCAATTCCATTTGCCCCAAGTCCCTGGAACAAAAACATGTTGCCAGTAGTGATCGCTTCCCGTAAAAGCCAACAGGGAAAATATAACATATTCTTAAGCAAATGGATGGTTCTAACCCCTGGTTTATGGTTGAACTGGGGGTAGAACCCTTTATGGTTTAGCTGGCGGGTATAACCTTAAAGCTCACTTGGGTGTATAACCTGGTCATCTGGGCGAAGGAAACCAGCCCCCAGGAAAGGCTCCGAGTTGTTTAGGGACTCTGAGAACCTCTTCCTACAGAAGTGTGTCTCTACGGAAATCCAATCTTCCATTTGCTTAAGTCTTTGGAGAAAGACAACATTTTTTTCCAGCAGCGACTATCGTTAAGCAAATGGAAGCAAGGCGGAAGGCAACCCATCCACCGTGTCGTGTCTCCGTTGCCCAAAGAGGTCAACCTTTGGGACCACAACCTTTTAAATGGACCAATCGGTCGGCTTTGACAGGAACCTGTGGGTCACAGCGGATTGGAATGAATCTGGACCGTGGCACATATCTCGGCGCCATTGACTCATGGCAGGTGGGAACTGTGCGTTTCATTCACGTTGTCTCCCCCGCAAAAATCCCGATCTGCGTCTCCCTTCGAGGGTGCCCATGGCAACCTGGTCGTCTGGCTTCTCATCTTGCACGTTAGCACAGACTTTGTCCCACTCTAAGTGAACAGAAATAAAAACACAAATTGAAAAATGAAAACCCCACGGAATGCAAAGTTGAACCTAGTTCATCCAACTTTGGCCCCCTCCCAACCCCAATCTCGGCGCTTCTTCACACAGCTCCCCCGCATCCCCCTTTTTTGGTGGATCGAGTCAGGGCGCAGCGTTGTCCGGCAGCGCAGCGGTCCCCTCCGACCGCAGGAACAGGTGGCCGCTTCCTTTGCTGCCTGCTGCCTCAGAGCTTCGGTGGAACCTGTCAGTCTGTTGGAGGGGCTGGGCCAAATCGAGCTTGAATCACCAGACTTTGGTGTCCCTTACGGATGCTCTTTTTCAAAAAATGGCACAAGGGTTTGTCTTTTAATAAGGGTATCCCTTGTTCATGGTTTTAAAGCGAAGCCAAGAGGAAGACCGAAATCTACTTCGGAGGATTAATTCCTAAAACAAGGCACACCCACATATTCAACAGGGCTGGCTCAACCCTGCAGGTGAACTCGGCGAGTTTGTATCCCCGACAGGAGGCCTTGGATAAGCTCATCTTACAATGGAAAGTTGCAACAATTAGTGAGCTGGCACGATTCTTCCGCCTTAGGGTCTCTTAGTAGAAACGCTGGTTGTCTACATTGTTGAAAGGGGTCCACAAGCCAATCATACTGTGGGTGGACGAAATCCGTTCGCAACACTTTGAAACCTTTACAGGGGGTCTCAGATGCCCAGTGGCCATGGGAAAAAAGGACATCCTGTTTTTGTTGGTTGACAGTTTGATCGGGAACCCTTACGCAAAAAAGAAAAGAAAAAAGGGCACCACCCGGCAACAGAGAGGTCAAAGAACCTACCGCACGGACCGGTCCAGCGGCCAGGAAGACCAGCACAGCGCCCTCCTTGCGGATCGCCTTATCGGCCTCCTCCTGACATCGTTGATCCCCCGTCTCCATGCGGCCATGCGTCAAAACCCATTCCCCCGAGTGAAGATCTGATTCAATCCAACCACTAAAATGGGTTCTAAAATGAGTAATAACTTCACCTACCAAAATGGGATCCCATTGGTTTTAAGCCATGGCCATATCTGTGCGGTCCGATCCGCGAAAAGTTGCACCGTTAGTGACGTGAAGTACGGAAACCCAACCACCAAAACGACTTAAGCCATAAGCCCGGGATGGCGCCGGGGACCGCCATGGAATATGTCTGAACGGCTTAATCCCTCGAGAGTAAAAAACAGCTTCACGATGTTGCCTTGGTACATGTCTCAAGTTGAGGCGGTTCCTGTATGTTTGCACAAAGGACACCAACGCAACGTGTCACTCACAGCCGTGAGGCTCGGATGATTGCTTTCGGGTCCTCAATTAGACTCGGGAGTTCTACCCTTCACCAGACTCGAACTTCCCACCCAAAGACAAAAGTGACCAATCACCCATCGTTCTCTCATGCCGCTTTCGACCACGTGGTTCAGGTTTCTTTGAACACAATTGAGTGTTGGTTTGATTCCCCTTAAACTTGATTGGGCATCCAGGCTTCCGCGGACCCTTCCGCATCCTTGCCGCGCGCCAAGAGGTCACTTCCGCGGACTTCCGCGGCACAGGTCGTTCATCGGTTGCTTCCGAAAACCTACCGCGGCGCATGTTTTACAAGATAAGGTTCCGCGAGTATTGGCGTAGAAAGGACAGTCATGTTCCGCCTGTGTCGGTGCAGCATGTGTAAGCTTGGGCTCCATTGGTCTACCGATAATACGATGCTTCGTGGGCACTTGCCTGCATACACGGGGCCACCATTCTGCGGCTTCCGCGAACCTTCCACAGATTCAGAGAAATCTGCCGACTTCTTTGGTCCTCTTGGCCTGCTGTTGGCAACTGCTCTTCTAGTAAGCGTTTCCTTGTGCTTTTCCATGCGCACAAACTGAAAGAGTTGAAAGTCACAAAGCCTCGGCAAACCTTCCGACAAACAAATCCCTTCAGCGAAACCTTCCGCGTGCTTCCACACGTGTGGCGCAAAGCACATTGTTAAAAATCGCGTCCCTCTCCCTACCATTTTCAATTTGCGTGCAAACAAAACACCACTCAACTGGAATCTAGGACGCGTGCGATCAGTGGGAGTGTGGCAAAGTACCGCGTCTTAGTGAATGAAACTGCACAACTTCAATGTACATCGGCTACACTATGTAAGGATGCCATCCTCTTTTCAATAAGCACTGCTGGAGACATGGGCCGTAGATCCAGCACCACTTCTCAACCGGCAGGGGTCTGCAATGGGAAACATCTGATGTGTGTGTTTGTTTCGCACTAGAATGATGCAATTATTTGCAAAAAACATATTTAGTGCAAACATGTTTCAGGCGAAACCAAGCAATGCAGTTTGAGATAGGTAAACTTACTTGCAATTCAGAATGTCTCTGATCGGGCGTTCAACTCAGGTCTGTGAAATCCCTGAAATGGCGAACGAAAACGGCCACGCAAAACGGCTCCAGGCACCAACATCTTCCCCCTCACCTAAGGTTTGGCTTGCCTTGCAACCTCTCACAAAGCGGGGTGGGCGCTAGTGCCATCTTGTTGACATGGCTGTGGGTCGAATTGGGGGACCTCTTTTTGGATGGCTTCTTTTTGGATGGTTTTAAAAGGAAACCACCTGTCTGGAGGAGCGGGTCCCCAATTCGAGAACCCCACATGTTCCGCGACCATCTCTAGCAACTTCCATTTGCTTAAGTCCACTTGAAAAGACAACATGTCCAGTAGTGATAGATTCCCCTTGAAACCAAGAGGGGAAAATGACAAGTATTCTTTTCAGCCAATGGATGACAAAGAGTTTTCGTCTGAACCGGGTGGTGTTTTTGGTCGTCTCCTCGCTCTCCTCCTCCGCTTCATCGAGGACATCCTCTGCCCATTTCTTGGCCTGGCCTTCAGTGATGCCTCGCAGTCGCAAAGTGCGCACGGGAGTCCCACAAGAGGCTTGTGTTTGCTGGAGGGTACCCGGTTTGGCTTGGTTTAAAGGGGAGCCAGCAAATTTTACCTCTTCTTGGATGGTCTTGAGAAAGAGCAAAAGGAAACCACTCAGTGGGAAGACTAGGAAGAACCAAAGGAACAGCAAGCCGCGCCAATTGTGGCTCCTTGCCAGGAAACTCTCGAACCGCCCGATATTACACAAGAAATCTGAGGGCTTACCTGCAAGCCCTGGCCAGGTTCTCGTACATGTGTTGGGATGGGCGACTCCTACTCAAATCCGGAACCATCAAAGCTGACTGAGTTGGTAACCTAAATTCATGTACTTATGTTGAAACTTCTCAGGAAGTTCGGCTATACATAAAGGCTAGAACTGGCATGGATTAGACCCGTTCCCGGGCTATAAAGTTATAACCTCAGTGGCTTGAACATCCTGAAGTCTCCATGAGCCTGCCGGCACCCAATTCATCCAACCCATAGAGTCACCTTCCAGGAAAACGACACTGGAGTTTGTCTCGTCGCGCGCTAAAGAAGATCCACGTCAATCCCCCCCCCCATTTGGTTGCCTTCCCAAGGGATATGATATCCGTTTGCCTTTGGCTCCGGTTGAGAAAAAAGAGGAGCATTGGCGGTGATTGGTGGCAAAGGAGATTATCATGTATCTCAATCCAGGAGATCTGGCTCCGTTTGAGGAGGAAACAAAGAAACCAGGTTTAGTGGCTTGGTAACAGGCTGGTTGCCCATCCCTCAAGCACTAGGGTTTCAAACCCAAATCCAAACCACCAATCCAAACCACCAACTAGCGGTGAATGTTGACCCCGGATGAATAAACCCCTCTGTTGACTAATATCTCCGAAAGTGGTCTAAATCCCCCCTAAATCCAGGGACAGCCCCTAACTTAATAAACTGGGGTGTATTCATCGCCGAAGGCAGGACCCTGCCTTTCTTCGACTTCCAGGCGCGCCGCGGCTCGAAGCCCGCAGAAGCTTCGTTCGGGAGGGGGATCCAATCCTCGTACCTGAGGCCGAGATAGGGCGAGTCCATATGGCTCGTCGTGTTTTTTCTTCTTTCTTTTTTTATCCCCAAATGGCTTGGGTTTTCCTATCGGTTTCCCTTTAAAGCACACCCAGAAAGGCCTACCAACAAAACCACAACCAGGTCTTGCGGCGTGGCGCGCGAGGCTGGAGCAAGGTTCACATGGCCAGATCGACCTGCTTGTACCCGCGGTTGGGCAAAACTGGCCGCATATC